TTTTWAGSRRAAAAAWGGMGGGGGGGGGGTCGTATTATACATGTATAAATACGGTAGTTATTTCTTATATAGCTGTAGTAAAAGAGCTGGAGGTCGAACTGGCTCAAGTTGGAGGAATTATTAGCTTCATGACAACAAGTGTGTTTTACTCACTCAGGTTTGTAGACAGGCAGCCAATAGACGAGCCTCCCACCCATGAGCAGATGGTGGGCAGAGAAGTTTAACAGATCTGACAAGATGTCACTGAGGTGGTACACCTGTGAGACAGGTACATGAGACTCTGCGTAGCTGCAGAGAAGAGACGGAGAAACAACAACAAAACTTTTTAAAGTATCCCAAGTTGACAGATAATGAGGTGAATGTATCATTAAATCCTAGACTTTATATTCATGTTTTTGTTTTCTGACATTATAAACTATACCATAAACCACTTAATGACCAAGATAAGTCTAGAAATGAACGCAGTAAATATGTGTGGAATCTCAGGTGGACTTACGTGCCATTGGGGGGTTTAGTGATGTTCTTGTGGGAACCTGTTTTCCTTGTAGACTCTCTTATTCCATATGGAGCTAAGAACAAAAGGAAATGTATCTTTTTAAAGTGAATTTCTGGTGGAACAAAGATATGAGGGTTTGGCCTAACCAAGACAACATTTAAATTTGTTTTCTCCTCAAAATTCTAATCTTATATCTGGTAGTGTCTCTATTAAACTTTCACACTATTTCACTACCGTTATGTGGAACGACTATACTAAGGGCCATATGTGACTTGTAAATATTATTTCTGATAGGCTACTCTGCTGGTTAATAATTTAAAACACTTTGCATTCTTCTTTGTACAAGCAATGCTATAGAGTATTTTAAACCCTCCTGTTAAAGTTCACTTGGGGTAAACGCTGGACCTAAGTGTGTATCAAAACAAAGAGTACCGGAATACCCTGAGTCATACTTGCAATAACAGCACTGTAGGAGGAGGACAACTGGACACGCAGGCCTCAAACTCTTTTTAATGGTGGACGTTTTTTCTTCACAAAGATGGCTTCCTTTACTCCTCTCTCAAACCTACGTTCCTCTGTATCAAGGATGAGAGCATCTTCATCCCTGAAAGAGTGACCGCTGGCCTGTAGATGAGTGTAAACTGCAGTCCTGACCTGTAGATGAGTGTAAACTGCAGTCCTGACCTGTAGATGAGTGTAAACTGCAGTCCTGACCTGATGAAGTAGCTCGTCTGTGCTGGCTCATTCTTTTGAACTGTGGCTGTTTTGTTTCCCCAATGTATAACTGATCACAGTCCTCCTGACATTTAACAGCATATACTATATTACTCTGTTTTTGCCGGGGAACTGGATCTTTGGGGTGAACTAATCTTTGTCGTAACGTGTTTTGGGGTTTGAAATCCACTGGGACTTCATATTTAGAGAATAAACGTCTCAGTTTCTCTGAAACTCCCATCACATACGGAATGACGACTGGTTTGGGTCTGGGTTTAGGGTCTTCATTTTCACCTGGTTGTTGGCTGGAATCCTGTTTGGGTTTCTTGTCTGCTTTCAGAAAAGCCCGGTTAGGATAACCACACTGCTCCAGGGCCTGTCTTGTGTAAGACTTCTCTTTCTCTCTGGCCCTGCAAGTGGGCTCTGACTGAGCCCACTTGCATTCACTATATTCAAATAACACAACACAAGTCAGGTGATGGGGCACATGACCCTCTATGAAAAAAGAGAGCTAATCAAGCCTATTGTTAGGCGATGGCCCTCTTTTGCATGTGACTAAATAAATCTAAACAAGCCTATTGTTAGGCGATGGCCCTCTTTTGCATGTGACTAACCTGTTTGTCCATGTGGAGGCAGTGCTTCTAAGGCTGAGACTGAGGAAGTCTCTTGGAGAGACGAAACGTTTCACTAAAGAAGAACCCATCCAGAGGACCTACTTATTTTTTTCTTTTTGATTTTTTCTGCCTAGATTACTGAGATGCATCAGAATATCTTGAGTTTGAGCAAAATGAGTCCATAGATTTACAGGCAGCTTTCTGACTTGTGGGTTTTGTTGTGTGAATCAGACTTTTACAGTGTTGCTTCACATTTTGTTCCCCTTCATGAAAAAAAAAGAAAAATAATTGGCAAATTTCTTTCTGAATATCACCTCTCACTAGGCTCACCCATTTCCCAGTCTTTGTTTTTTCCGCGTTTTCATTTCTTTGACAAATTTTCCATGACATTCTGTACAACTCAAATCCATGCTTATTTCCTGTTTTAGTTTATTTATTTATTTTTTAACAAAGTAGCGGAGACGTGTTGTGATTGACAGCTGACGCTGCATCTCTACCTTCAAGCCTTTCTATCCTCCTCCTGCACAGTAGACAGATGGAGTAATTGTCTGATTGTTGCAAACTGAAGTTACTAAATAACGTTTGTCAAATTTATATTTGCTTTATTTGACCTAGTCAAAAGTGGGTCATTGTGTGTGTGTGTGTGTGTGTGTGTGTGTGTGTGTGTGTGTGTGTGTGTCACACTGTTTATCATTGGGCCTTGTGTGAGACGGATGCTTGATGTTTTTGTTCTCTATGCAAATTGTTCTCATGTGGCATTGTGTTGGTCAGGACCTGACAGGTGCGTAGTGTCACATTGCTGTTTTTGTTTGCCACACACATTGTGCATTTGTGGGCTGTGTTTGTGTGGTCAGGTTCAGTAGTGGTTTTGCGTGTTCCTTCCAATAAAATCCTGCAGGCGCCTGTGTGTTTGACATTTTTCTGTAAATATCTCATCAAATCAAATCAAATCAAAACTTTATTTGTATAGCACTTTTCACAGCCAATGGCAACCAAAGTGCTGCACAGCAGAATAAAAATACAATCAGATAAAACCAAGTGAATACTAAGTAAACAGAAAAGAATACAATATGTTAAAAAAATGACCTACTGCATGTGCTCTCTTGAATTGAAAGCTAAAGCAAAAAGGTAAATCTTTAAAATACATTTAAAATCATCAAGTGATCTGGCAGAACTCACAGAGGGAGGAAGCTTGTTCCAGAGTTTAGGAGCTACGGCAGAGAAGGCTCTGTCCCCTTTAGTCACCAGCCGAGTCCTGGGAACCACCAAGAGCATCTGATCTTTAGATCTGAGCTCTACCGGGATGGTAGCGATGTATAACATCAGACAGATAAGGTGCCAAACCATTTAGACATTTAAAAACCAAAAGTAGAACTTTAAAATCAATCCTAAAAGGAACAGGCAGCCAGTGAAGAGAGCGTAGAACAGGGGTAATATGCTCACACCGTCTTGTCCCTGTTAACAAGCGCGCTGCTGAATTTTGGACCAGTTGGAGACGGTGGAGAAGAGACTGGTCAATTRCACTATAAAGTGAATTGCAGTAGTCCAGTCTAGAAAAGATAAAAGCATGAATAACCCTCACAAGGGCAACGTAGGGAAGGTAAGGCTTAATTTTGCAAATAAGCCTTAAATGATAAAAACTGGATCTGACCACTGCACTGACCTGTCCATCAAATTTAAAATTGTTGTCCAAAATCACCCCAAGATTCCTAATAAAAGCACAGTCTGAGTCCAAAGAACCAACAGCACTGTTTAATCCTGCCAGTAGGTTGGATTTTCCAAATGTCAGAACCTCTGTTTTATCTTCATTTAAACGAAGAAAATTTAGCTCCATCCAGGAAGATGTTGAAATTTTGAAATGTGGACAACTGCGACTTACAGAAAAGTGCACCCTATATATGTATATTTAGTGGGTGCAACTTATACTCAGGTGCAGTCAATAGTTCGGAAATTATGGTAAACAAAAAGCTTCATGTTCTTTGGTCAGCACAGTCAAAAAAAAAAAAAAGGGAATATTTTTCTCCAACTGACAGCTTTTATGTGGCTAAATGTATTTTTGTGAGAATTTCAAAAATTTTCCACAAGTTATAATATTTGGTCGTCTTCTTGTTTAAATTATCTAGGACTTACGGTCAGTAATGATGGCATCAAACAAAGCAGTGTTCCTCCACACTGGCTTGGACGCATCAGACACCATCACATCCACGTACATCTTCTCCGTTCCGTATTGTCGTAAGTTTGCTCTGATGTTCTCATCGGGACCTCGCCACTTTTGGTTTTTACGGCTGGACAGACCTACCAAGAAAAATTATTTTGTCAGATTTGGATAACGTCTTTTTTTAGTTTCTTCACATAAAAATAATTTAAAAAACACCACTTGAATTAAATTCTGCAATAAATATGCTGACACGCCACACCAAATGTATCTGTGTGAAAAAACATACCTTTGCCGTGAATTATGTTGTAATCAATATCTGTTCCACAAACATAAGCTCCAAAATGTGAACATGCAACCAACAGGCTTCCTGAGACCGATTAAGAGAGAAAAAAAAAAACTTGAGTAATTTATGTCTATAGTGTATGAATGGATCTACACTGGGAAAGCAGTGACAACATGAACTTACCTGTGCCAACAAATGGGTCAAAGATGAGGTCATTCTCTTTGACCTTTGCATGGTTAGCCATGATGAATGAGAGGCCAGCATTCATGCTGGTATTTCCGATGAAATGTCTTTTCTTCACACTGAAGGAGCAAATCAGTTCCCGCTGACCATCTGCTATCTGATGAGTAAGAATAACAGGTATTCAGCTGAAGAGACTCGCCTTCTTCCATGTACAGAACAGCAAAATATCTTACCCATCTACCAAAGTAGATGTGGTTGGGATGCTCTGGGATGTTTCTGCAGTCTGTGCCATAATCCTCCAACAAACAGAAGATGTGCTGAGGGTTCGTCAGGCACACTGTGCCTTCAAAGGGAAGATAATCCAAAGCCTAATGGACAAAGGACAAAACACAATATTAGGACAGTGACACTAAATAAAACTTAACACACGCCATTCGTTTCCACTTATGTCCACATCTACATACTCACATTAATCTTTTTGATTTTGTCTTTTAACAGCAAACTTTTGTTGAAAGACTCGATGTTAATTTTGTACGTGGACTCTTTGTGCATGTAGGGTCTCTGCATGTGATTATAATACAAACAGAAATAAAGTTACTGATATTTTGCACTTTACATTTAGTATGAATTTGTCATTTAGTGCATGAACAGAACTGTCCAATCCACGAGGACTATAAACAGAAGAATCATAAACCATTTTTTCTGAAGGGTAATTCAAGAGGGATGTTCTGAGTTCGCTGTGCGTACGCCCATGGCCCCACAGTTCAAATGCAGACCTGCAACGACATTGTTGAATGAACCGGAGGGAAATTATACAACAATGTTTACAGACTGAGTAGTTGGATGATTTGTCTTTAAAATGTAATATATTTCAACTTTCTTACTTTGCACAGACTGATCTGGCCATGACACTGCGTACATCCTCCTCTGACAAACTGCCCAGGCACCAGAAAGGAGACTGGAGGGAACACGCAGAAAATGTAGATATTGTCAGAGCTTGACACGTGATCTAACAAAATATACTGATTTGCTAACCTGTTCGTTGAAGTTTTCAGAAGGGTGGAATGATTTCGATCGGAGAGCCAGCAGAGACCTTATTTCCTACAAGATCCACACAGAAATAATAAAAAAAAACCATGATTGTGTGGTAAAATGCACTGTATGTATCACAAAAACTGCAACGAGTGTAGCTAAAAAACAATATAGCAGCTTAAATACAAAATAAATACGATGAGTGAAACCTTGAATTATTACATTGTCAAATGTATGTGAAAAATATGTGTTAACTTGTTATTATTGCATCGCAAAATGTAGAGATTGTACTACTGAAACTAAAAGCTAAACCTAATCAATCGGTCATAAGGATATGCGATTACACAGTTTGAATTAGCAAAAGGCTAACGACACATAAGTACGAGGTAACAAGGTAAACTCATAGCAGACGCAGAAATAATTTAAAAACTCATACCGGTAACCTAAACTCCAGGTTATCGTGAGCTAAATGGAATAAATATTGAAGGCATGACCGACTACTGGAGGTAGCCATCTTTGGTGCGCATTCATAAAAGGTCCGAC